GGGGACGGACAACCCAGATCCTATCCACTTTCGACATCTGTATAAGCACGCGTCCCTGAATGACCTCCTGTTGGTACCAGCAACTTCAAACTGCGCTGACGACGGAGACAGGCTGATCGCGGTCTTGAGGCAGGTGACGATGGAAACCAACGAACAGCCAGTGACAGCGTCACCGCGCCCGTCCCCTAACACACCGTCTGGAGCAGCGGGGAACTGCCCAGTGGAAATGGAAACCCTCAACGTATTAACCTACGTCTGTGGCTACCTCCTTCGCACTGCCCGCATCAGCTGCGACAGGTGCAGGGCAGTAGTGATCAAACAGGAAGCGATGCCTCTGGTTGATTCAGAGATATTTACGGCCTTAAAGTCGTATACATCCATCAGTACTACCGACGTAGGTAGCCTCCTGCGCCCTACAGAAGACTGCGACGCATTTATTATAGCGTGCCATCAACAGTTCCGAGCTCAAGATGAACACTTTTTTCACGAAGCACAGATCTGCAAACGGCTGGTCAGCTGTGCACTGGAAACAAAAGAGGCCCGGCAGCTAGCGCAGGAGATGTGCCATCCTGCAGTGCTAAGCATCATGGCGGCAACATACATGCGTATGGAGCTGCACCGCATGTGCAAAAACTTGGTGAAAAGAAAAGCTACCAAGACGATTCAGCGCCCCAAGACTGCGGCGACGAAGAAACTAGCAAAGCTGCAGCACCGGTGACTAATAGGTCATACCACAGATAACATACCTACGGCAGACGACTGCTCAGACATCAGCGGGCAGCGTAAGAGGTGCTATCCTACCGTACCCAATTGTCGAGCGGTGGAGGTCCGGCCGGTCATGCGCGGGAGGCCTACGGGAAGACGCCGAACTAGCGCACTGGCGGAATTGCCGCTGTCAGCCGGCCCTGTGCCGGAGGACGGCGCAGCCTGACCAGCTGGCTACCACCTGCTGGGGAGGACCGGGCGGCCGGACGGTGATGAGTATTTCGGCCACGTTTGGAGCGTCGTGAGCGCTCCAAATTTTAATACAAACAATTTTTGCAGACTTTTGACTTTGTCTAAAAATTTCACCGGCGCAACTCGCACAGTTTCGGAGCAACAACCCGCCAACAGAGACAGACTCACATACATCCATGCATAGTTTTAGAGTTTTATAATAGTAATTTAATTTATGAGAGTGAAAAAATAACCTCACGCTCATTAAATTGAAATGAAAATTGTTAATCCAGAATATATTCTCGTGAATGTCATTTCGTCAGTAGATTAACATGCAGAATTGATGGGAAAGCTAAGCAAAGTGTTTCGCATCCTCCGTGTCGTGAATGTCACCGACCGAAGTGACATTCACGAAAATATTTTTTGGATTAATAATTTTTATTTCGATTAAGCATGAGGTTATTTCTTTTCACTCTTGTAATGTGTACTATGCTGAAAACAACGTCTAACTTTATTCAACAATAAGTAATTTAATTAGATAAAACTCATCTCGTCCATCAGCACGGAAGTGCCAAAACCACAGCAGCACACCCAAATTGCCAGGTAGCCAAAAACTCAGCAGTTACAGGAAAAATTCGTTTTGTCCATTCCATGTCGTAGACTATATACTAGGGTTACCCGCGTGCTCCGCAACGCGAAGAATGGTTGTTTTTGACCCGTGGGTATTGGGTTGGTCTGTGTCGATTTGGTTGGCATCCATTTTGTTCGATTGCTTTTGACGGCCAAGCATTTTGTAATAAAACAAAAAAGATACATTGCATCGAGGTGCCCGTGTCGTATTATCATGCGTTCTACTCAAGAATGATTCGGAAACTGGCGTGAAGTCTTTTGAGGGCCATCGATGAATTTCGCTAAAAATGACAATGTAATGGTTTGGAACATTTACATTTTTAAGAATACTGTTGCTCATCATGCAAAAATGAAGAGTGAATATTGGACAAAATTGAATGCTTTATCCAATGGTACCATATTCAATTGCCAAAGGTATCAGGTTATGCAGCAAAACCCGTGTAATTAATAATGTGGCACATCATTGACAAACACCATTTTCTCCCGTGATTTGTACCACCTTGATTTGGATCAATCAGCTTTTCACAATTTTTATATGAGAGGCGGTACATTTCTCTTGCCAACAGGCGCTGTTCCAACTCACTCCGTTTAACGGTCACCTAAAAATAAAATCAATTCCAAAATCCCTCAAAAACCGCAATTTTTCAAATAAAAGTGCCCTCTCCGGTGCACGTGGCGCGTGCTATCCTCTGCATTGCACACCATTCAATAGCCCGTTCAATTCTGTACACGATGCTGTTTTCCCCGTGCCGGTCGGACCCCTGGTCACCAAGATATTGCACGGGAACTGGACCCATGTCGGCCAAAATTAGCCGTTTTCGCCCGATTTCGCACGCCGATTTATACATGTAAAGTCTATGACGCGAATTTGCACTTTTTGAGCACGCGCCACGCACTCCCTATCAATCCGATCGAGCTGAGACCCCTCGAAGGCACGTCGCGCATCTTTGCTCTATAAGTTGTGCAAATTTCAGCGCGCTAGGTGCAACGGTCTGGCCTGTAGTCCACGCAAAGCACCACCAAGTCGGGACCTCGGTAACGGACAGACGCACCCTCCTCAAATAGTAATATAGATTCCGTGCTTATATCATGCTATTGCATTGGTTGAGAAATGAGAGGTGCGGTTGCAGTCTTTCTATAAATTGTTCGAGGATAAGAAAGCATCAGTGTGTAAAGGAGTTACCTTCATATGCATTCATAGCTGTAGGTATAAGGACTCAAAAAGTTGGAACTCGGCGTCAAACAGCTGCAATAGCCGACTTTCGGTTAAAATCTAAGAAGCCCACCCCCTCGGTAGAATATTTTACGATTTTTACACATTTGGCGCATCTGCGACATTTTCTGCGCGTTTTGGCGAACTACTTTTTCGTAAATCGTAGCTTTTATGCAACAGAAGCCCCCAAAAGTTACGTCACGTGCTGGAGTAAATTCCTTGCTCTCCGTACTATTTTCAAGACCTTTGTGAAACAGATTGGCGTAGAATAAATACGATTTTAAGACAATTCGTGAAATATCTGGTCCCGTAAGTTTTATGCAATAGCGCTCTGGTCACTTGAAGTGAGTCAGTGACCTCACCCCATAAAAAGTTTCAATGTCTGCCATAGCTACACCGAGTGACCGATCGCTTTGAAACTTTCAGCGATTGCTAAGAGCAATAGCATGTACAAAATGTGTTTATCTCAGAATTTTGATATCGATGGCCTAAGGTCAGGTCAATTTTGCGACCTCCCCATTATAAGTCAATGGGAGAAAATTGAAAGGCGCTTTTTTATGAAAGCCATTATAAACACTCCCAAACACTGAATAACAAGTAACTAAGACACACTAAACATGAAAATGGTATCTGTGACCCCTGTTTATGCCCCTGAGGTCATCTCAGGTCACGGATGGTATCTAACAGTTTTTCGCGAATAACTTTTGATAGGGGCATGCTAGAGCGATGAAAACGCCTTGGATGTGTTCAGCTCGACGATACGGAGCAACATGACCCTTTCCGGCCAGGTCATGACCTTGACCTGAGGTCAAATTTTCAAGTTGACCTTCCAAGGTCAAGTTACAGTTCATTCGATGCGTCTTGAGGAGAGGAACACGATGCCGGTAAAAGTAAGCTCGTGCAAGGCTTGGGTCAAAAGTTATTGCAGAAAAACTGTTTTCGAAAAAATCGGCTATTTTGGCAGTTTTTGCCCCCTGCAGGCAAAACCGTTGACGATAGGTCAAATCTGAGAGAACTATTCAGAAAGGGCGTTAATAGGGCTATCGAATGCGCTTTTCCGCGGCGCTGTAGCTCTATTGGTTCCCGAGTTATGCGTTGGCTTCTTGGAAATTGTCGACATTTGAATCGGCGAAATTTTGCCTTCAATGACCTCTGGTGACCTGACTTTTGACCTGACCAAAAAAGTGACTGAAGTGATTTCGTCATTATTTTTAGCGCTCTTTCGAACGCCGCCATCCGCGTATCGCTACGTGGCCCAGGAGCCGAGTTAGAAGGGGGTGTTCAACCACCCCCCAGCAGGGCGTGGAAATCCAGGACCCCCAGCCGGGCGCGGGTTAATAAATGATCATTTTCATTCAATTTGTCATTTTCCGAGGAGAAGGTCATATATTCTAATGATGCTTCCCACATTTATCATGCTCCTCGCAGCAGCTCTGAGCGATATACGAAAATGGTCTTTGGTTTGGTTGATTGCGAGTTGAACTATAATATATAAGCCGTTTTCACAACATAGCAGGGCTTATAAAGCCGCACAATATGTATACGTACCATGTGCTAGCGCTCTTAAAACGCACGCTGGTTACGGCTCAGCCCGAGTTGCTCTCGGAGAATCTTGTGCGAAGATGGCATGTACACCAAAGAGCTACGAGGCAGGATGACTTGTTACATGTTCCCATGATAAAGTCTGAGTCCGGGAGGAGACGATTCCTTTTCGCTGCAGCAACGGCTTTTAATCGACTGCCTCCAAGCATGCGTGATCTGGACATGAGAGCTTTTAAAAGAGAACTTCGTCGGCATTTGCTGCAGCAACAAAGGAACGATCGTTAGCGGCGCCTACTCCTAGTGACGACACTTATGTGATAGTGTGGTTGTGAGATTGGTGGGGAAACGAGGGCGTATGTATGTATGAATGTTATGTATGGGTGTCATCCCGACAACCACGATTTTATTATTTGACTCTGGCACGAATAGCCACACAAGTGTGGAGTGAGCTAATGACGTGAAATAAATAAATAAATAGATAAATAAATTTCACGACGGGCTATCCGGTGAATGCACCTGGCTTGACCAAATCTGCACCTAATTTCTTTTACAGCAAATATCTTCATTTTATGAATTTATTTCAGTGTTTTAATCGATGATGCTCTCTGATAATATGACAAAGCAGGGATATAAGCAATTAGTGCAGCCCTAGCTGATAGCTACTAAGAGACACATCGAACCTGATTTGACCAAATCTGCACCTAATCTGCACCAAATATGCACCAAACGTGTACCAGATGGCCGTCGTGAAAACGGCTATAATATCCCCATAGAAAATCAATAGGTTCTGAGTTATAAGCTGCCAAATATAGGGTTGCAGCATAACCTCCGGGAGTTGCCCGAGGCTATGTCTCGGAAACCGTTGTTTGAAGAAAAATTCCCTGCCACAGATGGTTTCCCCGCCCATCACCACCACATACACCAATTTAAGCAGAAAATAACATGTGAGGGTGTACGGCTTTGGTCGATCTATCGTGGAATGCCCAAATTCACATCCAAAATGAAACTTTTTTTTTAATTTTAATGTGATTTGACAAAAAAGCGTTATCTAAAACTCATCATTTCTGCATTTGACTTTTTGTTAAATACATATTTCACTCGGCATACAATTTCAAGGAGATGTCATACACAAAGATTCTTAACCCGCGAATGACTGGGGGGCTCTACTTGGCTATTAAACTGCTATCTCGGATTTTCAAAATTTTAAAACTTATGGAAATATACTTATACAATTATTTTTTTAAAGAACTTTTTTGACTTAAAAGAAACGGAATATATTTGATAATGCACCCATTGATGAACTACCCTAGAACATTGTAGCCCAATATCTTCAAAAATGGCTTAGTTATACGCACTATAGTCAGAATTAAACAATTTTATGTTTTTGAAAGTCATTTTCCAGTACGTTTTTGACATCGCACAGTAATACAAATAGCACCATCGTGTTCCTGAGCTCGAACTGCATCTGAAAGCCAACTTTTTTGTTGAAACATGTCATTTTCAAAATTAAAGATTTTGTGCCTGAAAGTGACTTAACCTCAGCTAAATGCAGCTGAAATTGACTTCATATGGCTCACACGATATTAAACTGTGAATGAATGAACCATAAAACATGCGTCACGTGACCGAAACATGATATAAAATTTACGTGACGTAGGATGACCTGGCCTTGACCTGAACAATTTTAGGTGTAAGTTCGATACTCTCAGGGTATCTAAGGCATATATCAAGAATTGCGTAAACCAAAAAATGAGCCTGATCGGACTTGTTAGACGGTGGCCAGAGCCCAAATTTAAACAAGCCAAAATGCTATGTTTACTTTGACCTGACCTGTGACGTCATCGGTGACCTCGAGATAAATGAAAATAGGTTTCCCTCGACAGTGTTTCCAGGGCTATGAGACACCGTTTGAACTTGGACGATCGACCCAGTTATTAAGGAGATAGGAGGGGGCTCTGCATGCCCCCCCCCTTCCCAGTCACTCGCGTTATGGAAAATACTCAAGTCATGCGCGGGTTAAAGAACAAATGCTCCTTGCACACGCACTGAAAAAAACAATTTCACTCCACTGAGTTTGTGCTCGCAACATGCTCGACGCATTGGTAAAAAACTGGTGCCATCGTTATGTGAGTTAGCGATGGTTTGTAGAATCTTGTTACACACCAACTACATGACCAACATTTTCCTGAAGCCTGACCGTGTTTGCCGACGCATTGAATCTGGTCTCAGAGCCGGGTGTACTGTAGGCCGTGGCCGCCGCTGCCTCTCCTGTCGGCCTGGGGTGCCTCTGTGAGCTGACGGTCCCGGCTCGGTTCGCTGCCTATCCGACGCCGACCCAGCACCAGCGAGTGGCGGCGGCCGCTGCCGCGTCCGTTGGCCTGCAGCAGACGGCGCGCGTCCATGTCCTGGGTCATGTGCAACTGGTCCAGCGCCGTCAGCACTGGGTTCGGCAGCGGCTCATCCCCGGTCACGTGACGCCTGTAGCTAAAGCGGCGCGGCGGCGGCCCCGGCGGCGGCGTGGGTGGCGGCGGTGATATGACGGGCCGCCCGTCTTTCGGCATCGGACTATCGTCAGAATCCGACCTGGAACCTGTAGTGCTGCTTGAGCAGAGATGCTGGCCGCCCGGACCGCCAATGTTGGTGATGTCGTTAAAATTCTGCATGGCGTCGACCATGACGAGTTTGCTGAACGTCTCCATGATCTTGGGGTCGCGCGCGCGAGTGTGATTGCTGCGGGTCAGGCACGGTAATAGGTAACGGTGATTTATTTGCTTGAAACGCTGGCGTACGTTGTAACTGAATGGGTGACCAACGATTGTCTCCACACCGGCCTTCAGGTAGTCGAGAGCCCTCTCGTGGATTCGCTCGTTCATCGTTAGCTTGCGCTTATTGGCGCGCTCAACGCCGAGACGCTGCACCAGTGGCTTGATGCTCATACCCTGGAAGAAGACCGTGAAGTAGACGACACTGATAGTGGTCGTGAGAAACATTTGCTGTTCTTTAACATAGTGCGGATCGATGAGCATCACGAGCGCGAAAGCAACGGCACCACGAAGACCGCCGTAGGCCAGCACAAATATGTCCACGACGGCGATGGGCCGCAGCCTCAGGCGGTTGGCGAGTGACGCGAGGATCACCACGCCGATGGAACGTACGAGCACGCAGAAGATGATGGTGGCCAGCACAAACACCAAGTTGAAGTCATGGTGATTGTGTACCGTAGCTACGCCCAGCAGCATGAAGATAGCTGTCTCTGAGCATGAGGCCAACATCTTCATCATGTATTTTATAGTTGTGTGTGACTTGGCTGACACATTGGTTATGACATAGTTTTTCATAGTGAGACCACAAAATGTAATAGAGAGTATGCCCGAGAGATGAAACATCTCGGCGTTAAGATAAGCTAAGAACGGCATGGTGAAAACAAAGATCGGCTCCATGACATGCACCTTATGAGTGAATCGGGTCAGGAATGCCGTTATGAAACCCCAAATGACCCCGATAAAGGTGCCGCCGACGGCTGCAGAAGCGAACTTCACAAAGCCTTTACCGATGTCAGTCATGCGGAAGGCGCTGTGGCCGAGTATCATGTACTCCTCGAACATGTGATACAGACCGACAGTGACAGCATCATTCAGCAGACTCTCGCCGAACACAAGAATGTAGAGCACTTCATTCACCTGGATTTCTTCAAAGACGGCCAGAACAGCCACTGGGTCCACGGCCGAAATTAGCGCCGAGAAGATAAAGATGTCCAGCAGCGAGGTCTCCACGCCGTACACGCCTGACAGGCCGACCACGTACAGGCCGCCGGCGATAGCGAACGTGTTGAAGACGGTTCCGACGACAGCCAGTAGAAGGATCGTGCCGAGATTATCGAAAAACAGTCTGTTCGGCATGAAATAGCCAGCGTCCAGGATGATTGGCGGTAACATGTAGAGGAAGAATGTGTCCGGATCAAGATGATGTGAGGCTTCAATATCACCAAGGCACGCATACAGGAACGCACCGACCCCGATGCCAAGTCCGATGAGCAGACACGACTCGGGAACCATCCTAGACAGCTGTGGAACGCTGTGAAATGCCATTTTGGCGAGTCCGGCGATTAGAATCCAACACCCGATCACGAACGGCGCGCGCACGTGCTCGAAGTCCACCTTGCCCACCTCAAAGTAGCGCACGTGGGGATAGAGTCGGTTCGGGTCGTACGGTCTGAACAGCGGGTCTGAGTACTCAGTCACGTTTGGCACCGACACCGAAGTGGGCGACGCTCGGCCCGCATGACTGGGCGTCGGGCGGTGGGACCGGCCCGTCTCCGACGCCGCGCTGGTCACCGCCACTGTCGTCGCCGGCCTGGTGCTGCTGTTGCTGACATCTGACCGGGAGGCTGGCGCGGCGCCGAGCGGTCGACACCAAGCAATCAGGAGCAGCACCACCACAAAAAGCAACACCACGGAGCGCGGACGGCCCAGCAGCCGTGCCGGCACGTCCGATCGGCGGTCCGGCGCAGTCATGGCTGACGCGGCCCCGTCCGTCGGCCGGCGTTCAAGCCCTGGCTGGGAGCCGGATGCGCCGGCGGCGCCGACCGCAGCCGCGGCCGCGCCAGACGGATGCGGCTCGTTCACACTCAATGGTAGCCGGAACCGGGCAGTAATGAACCGCAGCTCCGCCGCAGCTTTGCCCACCTCCACAATGGAGCCACTTGCAAGCACACAGCCACGCAGTTCGCGGCAGTTTACCATTGGTTTACCATTTTATCATTGGCAATGGAAAACATCCAAATGCCTGACTTGAGTGCCCTAAGGGGCAAGGCTAAGGCCTATTTTCCACATAGACCGTTAGATATACTTAAGTGCAACAGCGGAAGAAAACGGACAAGAAATAATCCCGGGTAAAGATAAGGTCCCATCAGCCGTCACACCCCTTCAACAAAATTTTTACCCTCCCCCAGCGACCAGCGGAGCGCTTATGGATGAATAATCCAGAAGGGGCGGGTTAACCCACGCCCCACTGGGGATGGGGTGGGGAGAGGGGTGTTTGAACATCCCCTACGTTTTTTTTTTTTTTTGCAAATATCTCAAAAACGACGGTGCAGTGCGCCGCCGTTTTTTAGCACACCTTGTCATAATCTTTTCTGCAAATTCCGTAAAAATTTCAGACCAAGTTCACTCAAGGTCAGGTCACCAGGTCATGCCAAATAACCTCACCTCATGAAGTTCCTATGCCTACAGTAGCTACACCGACTAATCAAACACTTTAAAAGTTTTAACCAGTATTAGTGGCAGGGGGTTGTTTTCATCCACCCCTTAGGTTTTTCGGAAATATCTCCGAAACCGCTGAAGCTACGATGCTGAAATTTTCTGACTTTTCCTAAAACTAAATTGGGCACATTCCCTGAAAATTTCAAGTTCATACCTTTACCAGGGGCGGCTCCAGAGCACTGGAAATTGGTGGGTCCTATTCGTGAAGCTGGGCGAAGATCACGATGCTGATGTATTATAACTGTATGCACCAGTTTTACGAACGGTGAATGAAAGGTATCATGGTATCATGTGATAACATATACAAAGTTATTGTACATCCTCTGTTGACACGTTTTTGCTATAATAGGCGGATCCAGGCGTCCAAAAAGGGGGGTTATGTTTTACCTCCCAACATAGGTGCCCTGACACCGCCTATGCATGACCAATACAATTGTAGTCGTTCTCTCATAAGAAAATTGTAACATAACAAGACCATTACCACCCTTTTTAGAAACAGTACCAACAAAAACCTTATTTACTATACTTTTTGTGTACCCCTAATCTCAATGATCTGTATCCGCCTATGCTTTTTGAAAATGCATATTTTTAGGATCCATGTAAATTCCTGGTTCATTCTCTATCGAGCGGCAAAAGTTGCGTTAAGATTGGTTCCGAAACCTGGCCGTGATAAACAGTCTAAAATGTATCTGCAATTTGCCCGTTTTTACCCCCCTCTACCCCCTATTGACATTTTTTTAATTTTTATTTTTTAGAAATGTAGATCACGTTGAGCGAAATCGAATGCCGTTTGAATTTTGAAAATCGGCCCGTTAGATCTCGAGATATCAAGGGGGGTCGTAAACAGCCCCCCCCCCCCCCGCCACTAATAGGGGTAGCCAGGAGCCTGCCACTAATAGGGTTAACAATGGATAAGAGCAGCAGCATTTATAAAATGTATATCTCGGAATTTTAATATCGGTGACCTGAGGTTAATCATCTTTGCGACCACTCCATTAAATCAAATTTGGGAGAAAATTGAAAGGTGCCTCGTTTGGACGAACGTCATTCTTAGGACTTTGAAACTTCGAATAACATGTACCTAAACATGACACACTGAACCGGAAAATGTGCCATTTTCCGGCACCTCGACACCTCGCTATGTTTCTGAGGTCATCTCAGGTCACGAATGGTACAGTCGTGTACAGGTTGATGGTCCCCTACTCTTTATCCACCGGGTTCCTATGGCTCAGCATTGGCAGCAGCCGCCTGGTACCGGTAGGCTGTGCCGCATGACCCGAAAGTTATGCGGCACAGTCTACCCACGCCGTTTGACATCGGCTCGGGTCGCCGGGTGGAGCACTTTGTAGACCAGCTGTTGCGTCAGACCAGCGCGGGGGGTGGGGGAGGGGCTCGTCTCAGTGGTTGGCGTGGGCTGGCGAGTGGTGTGGGGCGTGTTGGTGGACCATGGGGGCTGGTCGGGTGTGTGTGGTCACTTCTTGCATTGCACATTTTGCGTCGCTTAAAGGTAGTGTGCCACCTTCCAATTATTTCCCATTTTATTTTTCCTAGGATAAGAAGCTTCTGTTTTTACCTAATATCGCAAAAAAATAAAAAATGGGCCTAAAATAGTGCTTTTTTCGCCTAAAAGTTTATCGGTTTTTCTATATGTATAACAACTGTAGTGGGCTGACCTGCAAACAGGCGTCGGCAACAATCGCGAATGCGGCGCACATGTGACAATAAGCAAAGGTCATTATAGAGTTACGACGTACGGGAATGAGTTATCAGCTGTCTAATCGTAGACAACACAATGTCGAATACTGTAAGCCTGTATTCTCACCTGGTATTCTCACCTGGTAGGGTTCACCAAGCCTGACAGCCTTAAGGATAGTCAAGGCAAGGGAACCCAGGATCAAAGGATGCGCCAGTTGAGATAAGAATTCGCGAGTATAGAGGGGTTACATAGCAACTGGAGTTATAGCATCCACATAAATAGCTCATACGAAAAAATACATGTGAATCAAGAATATTTGACACGAAGTTGCTCATCATCAACTACTCCGCAGGCTGGTACAGTTGGTCACGAATCGCATCGGCCAAGGCCCTCTTAAAGCTAGTTAAGTCAGGTGCGGTCACAACGTTTTCTGGGAGGCCGTTCCAGATGTGTATACATCGGATGGAGAAAGAGCGACGACGAACATCTAGTGTAACATGTGGCACGCGTATCTTGTAACAATGGCCTCGAGTGCAGCCGTGTAATTGACGAGAGAAAAACGTCTCAGGTTTTATATGACTTTTACCATTAAATATTTTCCAATATTGGATTAAGTCTGCGCGCAGAAGCCTTCCTGCGACTGAATACATATCAAGTTTTCGCAGACGCTCCTCATAACTCAGATTCTGCAAATCATCTATATGTCTAGACCACATCCTTAGCACACGTTCCAGTTTAACCATATCGCCCTTGTAACCAGTGTTCCACACGGTATTGGTATTGTTTCTTTAATTTGGCTGTCGAACATTAATTTATGGTTTGAAATATTATTTTATGTAAAATAACTGATATGAAACAGCCGTCTCTAAAGTTATGACCCCATCTCACCACATGAAAGTGGCAGAAATGAGTAATGACAACGATCAGCTGACGCATTTTTCTTGGCCGAAGTCAGAGCGCGCGGCCCGACGCACCACCACCGCACCACAAAGTATGAGCAGAAGCCGCTCCCAAAGCCAGGGCCCCGGTAACGTGAGGTAGCCGAGTTGGGGCACCGTGCGCTGACCCAAGCCGGGGCCGCGGCTTTGGGCGCGGTCTACCGCATCCCCGCGGGCAGCCCCGGGCTATCACATGACACCGAGAGGACGCGCGGCCCCGGCTTGGGTCAGCGCACGCTGCCCCGACTCGGCTACCTCACGTTACCGGGGCCCTGGCTTTGGGCGCGGTCTACCGCACCACCTATCAGGCGTGTTCGAAACCGCAGGAGATGATGATGAACGGGTTTATCGAAACTTGATTGGATGAGCCTATCGGTAATAGCGATTTCAGTGTGTGCATTTATTGTTCATAGTGGTGTGAAATGTGGTTGGGGTACGACCGACAACCCGTCGGGGCGAATTTCGCACTGGGGTACTCAAAATTTGAAGAATTTAAGACGTTTCCATGAGTTTTAAAGGTATGGATAAGTTCTAAAAATCCGGTTCTCCTTATCTGGGCCATTAACTCCATACGGTCCAGGAAAGCTGGCACACTACCTTTAACAATTGCATCCCTGTTTTTGATAAGCACAATGCACGAAAGACCCAGCGAATATAATTTACTTTACTTGTGCATTGTGCAAAACGTGATTTGGCACGGTATCGACGAACCATAGGTCTTGCGTCTATATATATATATATATATATATATATATATATATATATATATATATATATATATATATATATATATATATATATATATATATATATGTTACAGGCAAAGTGAAAACTCGGGCATTTTGCAAAATGCCTAGGCAATTTGCAAAATGCCTGACCGGCCAGGCATTTTGCAAAATGCCCAGGCAGTTTGCAAACTGCCTGACCCACCAGGCATTTTGCAAACTGCCTGAAATATTTTCCCAGGCATTTTGCAAAATGCCTGACATCAAACTCGCACTAGCGACGATGTATAGGTAAGCATCATTTGTAACTGCCGCTTACAAAAGTTAATCGCTGTCAATGCGCACCAAGTGAGGGGACACTGCGTTCTCCGGGTAGCGCCGCCGAGTTCAGGTCACTGAGCCCCAGCGGCCGTCGTCGGGTGCCGAGCACCGGGCGTGGTTTCGTGGGTAAACATGCGCTCGGTACAATGATTGTACTGTTTCTCAGAGCTCTTGGTGGCTTTTTGGAAATACTATGGGTGGATATTGATCAGAAAAGAATACTCTTCCAATTTACGAAAATTTGATTGTTACACGTTTAGGTACATTATCAATCGTCTCTGCCGGAACAGCTGCCCACCAGGGCAGAATACTGGACATCGCAGCTTTTATACACACGGCTACAACTCCGCATATACGAAAGGTACGGAGACGGTCGCTCAAGTCCATTCAGCGTTGGCTCCATCTCGACAGAATTGACGCAAAACGTATAGGTATACAGTGTCACGAACTTGATACGCGGTTGGCACGGTCTGGTCCCTACATGTCCCTCCTGAGTGCTGAATGGATGTAATTTTAACGGGTCCGGCACCAGGGCATCTGGTCCAGGGCACTCGGCATCTAAATCGGCCATCCCCCGGTATCTGAAGATTTTACCCTGAAGCTGAAGCCGCTCAACCTCAGGCTGCAACCCTGACTTACCGTCATCCATAAGTGATGCAGCTGGATTTCGACAAAACCCACCAAATCTGGACCATTCAGGACTAGATATTCAGACTTTTCAATGATGAGGCCGTGAGGTGATATTAGCCGTTTTCACGACGGCCATCTGGTACACATTTGGTTCACATCTGGTGTAGAATA